CTTTCCTATATGTTTATCATTGAAAAATATTTTCAATCAAATATGGTCTTAGAGATCATTGAATTTATCCTCAATATTGAATAACTTTATGAAATAATTATGATTTTTTAAAAACCATGCAATAAATAAATAATTCAGGTATACTATTTGTGATAAAATACGATTATAGGGATATGGAAAATTTTTAAATGCTATTTTAAATAGAGGAATAAAAATGGTTAGTGCAAATGAAAAATAGTGAGAGAAAGCTAGAGGAGATGTGAACAAAATTCATAACTAGAAAATAAACATTACTCAAGTGTCTTCCAAAAAAATAATTAAATTTCATATTTAGTTCATCACATATTTTTTTGTTAGAAATATAATATTGTAGTTACAAAAGCAATTTAATATTCAAATAGTCATAAAAAATTCAACATACATATAAAGGAAAAAATTAAGATGAAAATAAATCGATACGTTATTTAATATAAGAATAAAAATAAAAAACACTAATTTTTTACTTCCCAATATAGAGACCAAAATAGACATAATCCATTTGAAAATAGAGGGTGAGTGAGCTCAAACGTCTTATTTGCTATAATTAAAAAACTATATTATAACTTAAAAAATATACTATATAGAGATAGAAACGGATAACATATCTTCTATTTTTCATTTAGAAAAATAATTCTAACAAAAAAAACTACTAGAGGGAGTGCTAGGATAATCTAAGAGAGAGAGCTTCCTCATAGGATAAGTTTGGGTGTGACAGATTTTTGGGTTGGTGCTTGAGGGTTTTAGCCGTTTAAGTGATATATGATAGGAGAGGTTGTTCATAAAGAGAGCTTTAGGAAAGGAGAGATTGAGAGAGAGATGAATAAGAGAGAAGATAAATTACCGGAGAAAATAAGTTTTTCCTAAAGAGATATATTGAGGGAGAGATTTAAAGAGGGAGATATGAGTGACAAAGGAGAGAGGTTATAGAAGATATCTAATAAAGGAGTTATGACCTAGAGAGACATTAATTATTTGTTATATAGTGGGAGAGAGAAACATGGGAGGTAGAGAGATATGAATGACTTGTTTCATAACGAGAGAGAGAAATGTAGGAAGGAGAGAGAAACATGGGAGGTAAAGAGTAAATTACATAGAGAGGGGAGAGAAAAGTGGGAGGTAAATAATAAATTAAATAGAAAGAGAGAGATAGAGAGATCATATTAAAAAGATGAGTTACATAAAACTGAAGAAAGAGTTACTTGTATTTATGTATTTTTATGCATGTAGGAGGAAGACAGTTACACAAAAACATTACACTAAAAAAAGAGTTACCTATATTTATATCTACATTAAAAAAAGAGTTACCTATATTTGTGGCTTTTTATGTATATGGGAGGAAAAGAGAGAGTAAATGTGGGAAGGAGATGTGGAAAAGAGTAAATTAAAAGAAATTATAAGAGAGATAGTTAATATGGGGAGAGGAGAAAATGAGAGAGAGATTAATATGGGGGGAGAGAAGAGAGAGAGATTAATATGGGGAGGAGATAAGATAGAGAAACAGGGGGCTTGGAGTTATTAAGAAATAGAGAGAGAAGATGGATGATTAAAAATGGAAAGAATGTGTTGAGAGAGAAGAGGGATGAGCATAAGATGACATTTATGGGCATAAGAAAGATGTAGGGGAGAGAGTGATTATATGTATGGGCATGAGAGAGATGTGGGGAAGAGAGTTAATAGTATCATGTACGAGGAAGAGAGAGAGTAAATATGGGAGGGAATAATAGAAACAATATCCAATTCTAGTTTTTGGAAATGCCTCAATAGAAATATTGTCTTTTCTTTTTGAGATTAGAATGTGCAATATAGGAAAGTGTATATTGCATATAACAAGATAAGAAAGTGTGTATTACACAATTGCATTACCATTATATATACAATGAAAGAACCACCACAAAATAGTATGGGGCACAATTATTTTTTTTAATAGAGTTCATCGCTTTCTAAAAATATCTATATAGTATCAAAACATCACCGATCCTCTCAACAATTCAAGTTAATCTAAAGCAAGCAGCAACCTCATCTTGACTCACAGTACTTCAATCATTCCCCATCTTTTATTTTTATTAAGCCATTATCGTTTTTTTCTTTTACACCACTTTTCCTTCTCATGTTTTAATTTTTTTCCTTCTAGCTATAAAACTCTCTTTTCACCTCATTGTTTCACCTCCTTGGCTTCTCTTGTATTCTTAAGTTTCATCCCATCCTATGTCCAACTCTCTCTCTTTATCTCTCACATATTCAAACCTCACGTACTTAATTAACCCACTCCCTCCATCACCATTAAAACCGACTCCACTCTCTATATTGTTTCTTATCCTAATAACCACGTCACACACAACTCATATCACCTTCTCTTGCATACCCAACTCAAAAAATAAATAAATAAACCCTCAAATCCACTCTCCGACCCTCTCCCTTCAAATACTTACTCGTTTCAATGGATACTTTATTCTCGTCAAACAAATATCCATATCCCTCCACCTTTAATATAGGAAACTTTGTGTCTATTAAGTTGACACAGAACAACTATATCTTATGGGAAACTCAAATGCTCTCACTCATTGAGAGTCAGGAATTTTTTGGATTTATTAATGGTGATTGCCCTGCACCAAATCAAAATATTTCCTCTCATGATGGTGAGAGTAAAATCGAAACTTATATTGCAAATCAT